TGGCCTGGGCTCGGTGGCCACGTGGCCTCATGTTCTGCTCACGATCGTTGGCCCGAGGTTGGCCCACACATGAATGCCCAGCATCTGTTCAATCATATGGCCTTTGGCCAACCATTCTTTTTGAGAACCGTCCTGCCAAACAGACCCTCCAACCCTACACCATCTTCCATTCCACTTCAAGGTTTGTCCCCGGTTGACCCCCAGTCACGCTCACGCCATCGCAAACGCTGGACCCAGGACGACCTTCTGTTGTGCCGGTGGTGCTCTCGCCTTCGGCATGGATTGGCACCAAGCTCCGATGGCCGGTTTTTCTTGACGTCTCGTTTTCGTTTTCGAACGTCTGACCGCGGACGTCTGGGTCCTTTGGTTCGGGCCTCGGACGTCTAGAGTCGTTGTATCCGTCTGAAGCCACGCCATTTGTCGTCCCATTTGATTTGTTCTTAGTATTTGTTTTTTTTTTAAAGTGATTTTAGATGGTGGATTGGAATGCTGTGGTATGCTGTGGTTTTGTGGTGTTTTGAATTGTGTGTTCAGGGTTCATAGTTCTTGTTCAAGTCTCAACTCGGGTGGGGCAGTTGAAAAGGCTTGGTGCAAGAATTCACTGGAACCACCAATTCCTATGAATTCGAGAGCAGCCTTTCCGGACCGGAAGGAGAGCATAGAGATCCCCAACTGGCCCCATCCCAGTGGTGCGTGCGGTTCGATGTCAACCGGTGCGAATGACAAAGGCAGGTGCAGGCCAGTCCCTGTGGAAAGTAGTTGACTAAACCTAGAACCTCACTGTAGTAGCGTCCTTGTTCCGAGTAGTAAGGCCAGGAGACCCCTAGTAACTGGGATGAAGCCAAGAATCCAGTTTGATGGGCCCAACCGTGGTCTCAACATCTCACACCACTTTTCTTCGCTTTTTTTGCGGAAAAAAAAGACTGAAGTCAGGCGAAGGAAGGCGGCCCTGGAAGGCGGACGTGACGTTTGGCTTGTGTAGCTTTGGCTTTAACAAAGCCCACGGACTAGTCAGTCGACCCCGTAGATCTGTCAGCCGATCCAAATGGCTTGCACCCGAAAGTTAGTACGGCCACGTCGGCCTGCAGTGGCCAGGCCATCCTTGATGCAGCTGAAGCAACATCTCTTCTAGCCAGCTCAAAGCCAAATGTCCAGTGGGGGTTCCTTGCTTGCATAATTATAAGGGTATGCGTTGCCCCCAAAACCTCAATAGACCCTGACACCGACCACTTTCCTCGCCTGCTTTACGCCAACCCCACCTAGCTTCAACGTCCTATTTAAAATCTTGACAAGCTAGATTTCCTTGAACTTCATCTGCACTTGGGCGATAAACGCCCGGAAGCTACCCATCGCCTTGCATTCTCCAGGTCCAAACCTAATGGATTGGCTTGGTTCGCTAGCTGGGGTCATACACAAACGTTCCATACACGTCTTCGCGTCATTGCACCTCATCGGTAGCCCACTGCACTTCATGAATATCCTTCTCTAAGTCACCCGTTGCCTGGCATGGCCCAGGCCCAAATCCAATGGATTGGCCTTCTGTCCAGTCTTACTCTTCTTGTACAAGTATCTCTGTCTTTGCTAAAGGTCATCCGGTGCGACGACAATCGCGATGCAACCTGTATGAAGTGGACAGCACAGTTGAAGGTTGTGCCTCACCAGTCTAGAACTCCAGGCTTAAGAATCGAAAAAAACCGTCTTCTTTTCTCAGGTCAGCTGCAAGAATCTTGAGTTAGGGCTTTAGCAAGTTCATCTGCAGGTGCCCTCCAAATAAGGAATCCCAGCAGGAGGCTGTGGACGGCGCGCGGCAGTGGCATGATGCATGATCGCAGGACGATCATGCAAGCACTTTCTTCTGATGGTAAAGCCGACTGATTTTTCAGCTTGAGCCTCATGAACAGGTTAGAAGTTGAAGCAACTGAAGCAACTCGGTCTTGACTTGCTAAAACATATGAATTGAACTTTCACCTCCTTCGCAGAACATAGAGCCGGCGAGGCCCCAATGAGTCCTTGTATGTCCTTGCATGTGCATTGAGGAATTGAAACTTCTGATCGAATGCTTCAATTTCCAAAAAGGAATAGCACTACTACTGCTGCTTGCATTCGGACCTTTCTTCACACCACTTAATTTTGTATATATATATATATATGTGTGTGTGTGTGAATATATATATATATATGATATATGCACTAAATGTTAGTGGACACCAGTCCGGCCGAGCTTTTACCCTGAAAACACGTGTGTTGTGTGCCTGCAGCGCACTGGAGATCATATACTGGAGCTGCACCAACTCCTGTGTCCAGCAAACTTCTGGGGCGCACTCGGCTGTCGCACACCAGCAGATGTGACATTTGTGGTCATTTGGGTGTGTACTACATAAATTTAAAATAAGGAGACCTCCCAAAGACCCCGTGGAAGAAGGGACCTAGACCAACTTAAGCATCTTAAGCATGAAAGCGAGTTGGAGGCCCTGACATTAGAGTGTTCTTTCCTTGTGCGCTTATCTGGGGTGGTCACTGCAAGCCGTCGACTGACACAGCAAAGGTCAAAAACCCATTGGTTGGGTGTCCCCCGATTAAAATACACACCAACAAAGAGATGAAGAGATGAAGTGCAGGGGTTGCCTGAACTCCTCGGGGACCGAGGACCTGAAGATGCACTGAAAGACGAACGTGGTGGTAGCACGACAGTGACTTCACTAACCATGCTCCTGGTCCATCTAGAAATACACCCCTCAGATTTGAGAGTCGGTGGCGCAATGTCTGCCAAAAAACAATACATCTATAGTACAACAATGCAAAACATCGCGACACCCCTAGCAGCTGTGACAGGTCCCCCAGTCGCCCAGTGGGCAGCTCAACCATAGCTGGGACACCACAAGGATCACTTTCCCCAAGCGCCGGAACGCCACGCGGAATGCCACACTCCTGTGGGGACATCCGCTCTAGCTGATGTGGGGTCAGGCTGTTGGCCTTGGTCCAAGTCACGAGAGAAGAAAACCAAGCGACGATCCAGAAGAACGACCGATGCACTAAGAGCTCCGTTCGTAGCGGTGCGAACGCTCCGTTCGGGCCCGATACCCGTCCTTGCTCCGTTCGTAAACGTCCGATCGCTCCTAGTAAGGCCAGGAGCCCCGTTCGTAGCGTCCTGAACTCTACAAAAAGGAAGTGCTCATCTATGTTTCATCTTCCCGGGCCCCTGAACACACTGTTCACAGTGCGGGGAGTTATTCATGGTGATCGGCACCGATTCCATTCCTGCCTCCTGCATGGGACTGGCAGATTCTCAGAGTCCCATGCCAACATAGTTCTCCGTTCAATCTGTGGATGTGAAGGACTATCATACAAGGGCAGGCCGCGCTGGGGCGCTGTGACGATTCTCAGGCTGCTGGATGGGGACGAATTATGGCTGTCTCCATAACAACTACAGTATATAGTATGGCACGTATGGTCCTTCTTGGAAGGCAAACGCTGGCGGTGCCATTGTGCATGGCAATCACAGCATCTTCTCTTTGACTTGCTCCGTCCCGGTTCTTCGGGTGTCCTTCGCGCTTGGATTTCAACATGATGCTTTCGTCTCCAAGGTGAGATGGGAGAAAGAAGAGCTGGAATGCCCGGCCTACTCCCTTCTACGTTCTGCTTGTCCCCCTGTTGATCGACCATCCAGCTTCAACAGTCCCTCGTCTCCATGTCTAGGCATATGTCCCATTCGTGAAATTGCTCCGTTTGTAGCGATGCCCTTTGCTGTAAGGCCTGGAGCCCCTAGTAGCGTCCTTGCTCCTAGTACCGATGCCAGGAGCCCCTAGTAGCGTCCGCAGTGTATGCCATGTGTCTGACATCCCAAATGTCGCTCGGGGCGCCCGGGCGAGTGCGCCGGAGCCGAGCTGTTGAACGAGCTCCGGCGTGAGCGACATCGACGCCTCGGTGCCCACGGAGAGTCACAGCGAGTCGAAAACCGGAGCGGAAACCGGAGTCAACGCGTGGCAGTGAGTGGTGATCCATGGCCCCAAGAATTTCGACACTTTTATGGTAAACGTCTGGCAAACAACAAGAGTGGTGTAAATATAGGGCGTCATCCACTAGACATCCACTATGGTAGACATAGGTTTGAGGAGCCACATCTGGCACTGCCAGGTTTAGTTACACAACACTCGTGGTAACCAGCGTTCTGTCCCACCGGCCAACCCCCGCTGGGTGCCCTGTGCCAGTGCGGGCGGCGGCTGTGAAGGAGCCGCTGCAGAAGAGCCAGCGGTGAGATCTGGCAGGGTGAGATTCGGCATGATTCAGCCAAGACTAAAGACTGTAGACCAAGCTGGATCAACCGAGAACGAGTCAATCATCAGTGATGAATCACGCACAATTCATTAATCACCCTGATCACTTTTTCACCTTCCAGTATGGTCTGTTCCTCTTCCCCCCTTTTGACTCTAGCTATGCATGTCCATGTCTGGTTTCTTTTGGAACAGCTCACCCCTTCCCACATGCCGACGGAGTCACCTGTGTCGCCGACGGAGTCGTCGCCGATGAAGAACATTTGAGGGCCAGGTGAGGTGCTGCCCGAGGCAATGCCTTACGTAGGGCGAAGTGCCACCAGGTTCGCCGTTTGTGGGGCAAGTCATCGGGCTTCCAAACATAAAAGAAGCCAATGCCTTACTGAGTCGCTGGTAGCGGCTAATCATAGTCGCACCCCACAAAGATCAAAGCCAACATATTATACTTAAAGCTGGGCTTGCTGGTTTGCCCTGCGTCAATCCAGCCAGTCCGGATGGTTCCTATGTATGCATAAAACAGTTCGAGAATGAGAGCACTTCATTACACTTTGGCACAAATCGCCCCCTGCTTTCTTCGACCTACGAAAGTCTATGTGGTGGTCACAACTAGTGTGACAAAGATGCAACGACAAGTACGTACTATATTAAAATAGAGAGAGAATGAGAGAGAGAGAGAGGGGCTTTTGTCTCAACCTACTCAAACATTATCAAACTTGCACCACACTACACCTACACCATCAAATTGACATTCTGTAGCGGGAGCGCAGCGGTAGCGAAAACAAAGGGCTCGAAGAAACCACGTCGATCGAAAGGCAGCCGGTGCCTATGGCTCTCTTTTCTAAGACCGCTGAGGTCTGGCTTCAAAAAGGGGCCCCTGAGCATGAACAGCCACGGTGGAAAAGTGGCATCTTTACATGGAAGCTCGATGCACGTGTTGCACCGGTAAACAAAAGGACTCAGACTTTGTCTGATGAGCATCGAGCTTGGCCAGCGCAGTCTTGCCGGTCTTCTTGTTCTTCTTTGCCGCTGTGAACGTCGGGTCGAAGTTGATCGCCCACTTCCAGCTTTGGAGGAACCGCTGGAGACCCAACCTGCTGTCCAGCCGCTTTTTTGTGAGCGCGTCCCCGAGGTCGTAATCGGACGCTACCCACCTCAATTCACAGCCTGTGCGCTTCAGGTGGTCGCGCAATTGAAAGGCTTGTAGGGCGCTTCGAAGGTTGGCCAACCCCAGTAGCGGCGACTCATTGACTTCGACTGCGTCGAACCCTCCTCGGCTGTCTGTGCACAGCACGCCGTGCACACGGCGGACGATCTCCTCCATGGCGTCCACCATGTCGAAGCCACGTAGGCTTTGGATCTTCAGTCCGGCGCCATGGATTTCAGCCCATAGCAATCTGCAGCGGAACAAGACATCTTCCGTCTCCAAAATCGCCTGGACCTCCGCGTCATTGCTTCCCACTGCCCGGCGTTTTAGACGCCAGGTGCGCCAAGCCAAGAGGCTCATCCTGCAGACATGTCCGGCTTTGCAAGCCGGTGATGAGGCCAGGATTACGAAGCCTCCAGTGCTCTCGCCCTTGCTCCTGTTGTTGTGAGCTTGATCGCCCATGCCGATGAACACTACCTCGGACCAGTGGGAGATGTCATCAAACTTCACGAACTCGAGGGATGTGGCCTGAGCACGGCATTCGGCAATCATTGCCTGGATCTCCCTTGCATGCTCCAAGGTTCCGGCAGTGGTGACCTCTGAGAGGAGCAGGTTGCACCGCGCAGTCAAAAGTGGTTGTGACTGCACAGCGAGCCACTGTAGGGCTCCAAGTGCCGTTCGGCACGCTGCGACCTCTGAGGGTCGAAGAGCATCTTGCTCCCGGAGACGGTTGCCATCGATGTCAATGTCCATGAGCCCTTCCACATAGCTGTTCTGGTCGACCACAATCTTGAAGTTCCCAGAGCGGTCAACCACGGTGTGAACATCAGAGCCAGCGTGCCTGTAGGAACCCTGCTTCATGGTTCCCCACTGGTATGCAGAGTCGATGAGGTGGCACACTTCATTCCACTCAGCTGATGTTTCATCACCAATCCTGTGGAAGTCGTCCACGTGTCCGCCCATCAGGCCGATGAGGCGAGGATGATCACCATGTGGATCTTTTTCGTGCTTGCTGTACCAAGCCCATAGACATCGTTCACCTCGAACCACGTGGCCGCCCAGAGATGTGAGTTTCTCATTGAGCGACAGCCATAGCCCGCGGGGAGCTGTGGTGCTGCCATATATGTTTCGAAGAATCCGCAGGCAGGAATCTTCAGGAGCTCCAAGCGCAGCACGAAGTTCCGGCACCCCATAGGTGTAGAGCTGGTTATCAGCAGCTGTGGGCTCGGTTTGCAGGAAGGCAGAGGCCAAATCAAGTCCTTGCAACTTCCATTGATGTGTCACGGAGGCCATGTAGATCATATGGCGTCCCAATGTAGAGATGACCGGGGCAGACGTTTTGAAGTTGCGCTCAAGCAAGCTTGGATGCTGGAAGCCAAGCAAGACGATCCTTGCTTTTGCCTTTCTGGTGGCATCGTGATTTACCACCGTGTTGGGGTTGTTGAGCTGATCTAGTACTGCTTCTTGACGCTCATCAGGCGTGACAGGTTTCCAATTCAGCACCCATCTTGCCTTCAGAATGCGTCCGCTGCCAAAGGCTTCACGAGCTTCGTCATCATCCAGGCAGCGTCGAACTGCGCTGTTGCGCAAGAAGGAAGTGACCTCCTTGGACTTGGCCCGGTTGAAGAGAACCAAGTCCTGAGCACTAACATTTTTGAGGTTCACCTCGGAGGAGTTGAGCTTCTTGGTCAGGTAGAGGACAGGGTCCTGCATGAAGCTGCGGCGTTGTCGCCGGTTCTTCAGCTCAATGTCCACTTCGATGGAGAGGCATTCACCATCATAGGACTCCAGGAAGGCGAAGAGGTCGTGGTGTGTGATCTCATCTTGCGCCTCTTCACGAAGCAGATCCAACCATTTGAGGTCATACTCAGTCTCATGGTCGCCACGATGGCGTTTGACTTCTGGCTCCTTGGCGTCGGCCAATTTGAGCTTCTTTGGATCTGGCGCTTCATTTTCTCCATGTCATTGACCCTTGTAGAAGACGAAGGCAGGGATGTAGTGCCCTCTGGTTCAGGATCATCGCCAGGTTCTGGATCTGGCAGAGATGGTGTGTACTCTTCATCAGGAACCTTGAAGTCCTCTGAAGTCGGCGTTGTCCGCGGTGGAGGCAAATACTTCTTTGGAGCAGGAGGTGCTCGGGCTTGACCGATTGGACTAGATCGATGCACGACCTTGTAGTCGGAGTCCTTCAGGGTGGATTTTCCCACAGCTCGGCGAATCGGAGCCAGCGTGGTCTCATCTGGAGCCGCTGGTAGGTCAGGTAGTTCCTGATCGAGTTCGCCGGGTTCTTCATCAAGAAGGTCGGTGTACTCCTTCTTGGGGATCATATCATCCAAGGACTTCCATTGTGTGGGGTCTTCCCCTGATGAAATTTCGTGCCGAAGTCGTTCAGTTTCATTTGCAGGCCGGACGGAATGAACTGAACAGCGAAGAAGCTTCCGTCCAAAAAGAACCCAAACAATGTGTTGCCTCTTGTCATCAATGTCTTGGTGTGGGATTGCTTCAGCAAACACAACTCTTCCAGGTCCCACCCATTGAGGCCTTCCAGACTTCTTGTGTCCTCCACGAGAACCTTGATGTTGTTCTCCAGCTTGAAGTTTGCGCCAAACCATGACCAGTTCTGTCGGCGCATACTGTCGGACAGGCTGTCGGACAGTGGTGTTGGCCAGCTTGCTTAGCACCCTTCTCGCACGCGATCGACGCGCAATCTCCTCAGCTTCAGAGCGAGCCTTGGTGATCCGAAGAAAATCTTCCTTGGGCTCGATGGCATTCCATATGCGGATGTCCTCGTCGCTGATGGAGTACTTGGTGCCAAATGCCCATTGATGGGAAGAGTAGCCGGCGGTGTACTCAGTGCCATTCAAGGCTGAAGCTGCCAGTGTGAGAGTCATCTCAGGGCTGTTGCTCAGGTTCTCCTGGTGGATAGCTGTAGCCACGTGCTTGATGTCAGCAATGGCGGCCTCCACAATGCCATGACTCCACGGCTCTTTCTCAGGAGGGTAGTGGACCTGAATGTTCTCGGACTGGAGGAAGTCGTGGAACTTTGAAGAGATGAAGCTCTTAGCATTGTCGGCAACCACCAGTTTTGGTCGTGGATAGTGACCAAGCCAGCCTTGAACAAGTGCCTGAATGATCTCATCGGTTGCCTCGGGTTGCATAGCCAACTCCGGGTAGAGCTTGAGAAGCACCACAACACGAAGCTTGGTGGCCAGGTCGATGATCAGCAGGAATCTGGCCTTCTTTCGTAGACCAGGAACCAGCCATTCGGAGGTGTCCAAACCAATGCACTCCCATGCACGTGGTAGTGCGTGAGTTGCTGCAGGAGGAACTTGGCCCGATGATGTGCCACCTGGCTTGAGGGCCTTGCAGGTCTCACATGTGTGCTCCAGAGCCGCTTGTATCTTCCACAATGGACCTCCAGCCTCTCGCACAAGACGAGCGAGGTTGCGGGCAGTTGGATGACCCGCAGCTTTGTGGAAATGGACCAGTCGAGCCTTCCACTTTTTCAGCTCATCCGAGGTTGGAGTCAGGGAAGTAGAGCTGGGTGTGGCACCACCTTCGGGTAGAAGTTCTTGTCCCGCTGGTTGTTCTTGGAGAGCAGGTAGTGCTTGAAGTGCAGTGCGCTCCATGTTGATCTCGTCCTCAATCGGGACCATGTAGGGCTTGTCCTCCTTGGCAAAGATGAGCTGCATGTTGCGGTCAGAGACATACTCTTGACGCCATGCCAGGGCCATCGATTTGACCATGCGCCAGGGATAGTAGGAGCTCTTGGATGTCTCGGCTCCCTGAATCCAGGCATGTCGGTGACTGCCAGGACATACCTTAGCTTTGAAGCGCTGGTGGAAGAAGGAGCTGGTTGTCCGAATCATCCATCGCTTCCGAAGAAAGTCGCCAGCACCATCATCAGCACGGAGACCATAGTTGCACCCATCAACACGGCATGGAAGCCATTCACGGCCGTGAGCTTGGAGGAGGTGAGCAATGTATTCCAAGGGTCGTTGATTCCATCCTTCACAAGGCCAAGGCCACTCCCAGTAGATGTCGGTCTCGGGATCCTCGTTGAGGGTGTCTTCAATGAAGTGAGCTGCTTGCCATAGCATGCGTCGCTCCCGACGGCGATAGGTGGCTAACAGTTCTTGGCGCTCCTCAGTGGAGTAGTTGAGCTTGGACCATTGGCACCACTTGGTGCAAGGAAGACTGAACCACAGTCGCCGGGGACGATGACGGCGTCGAAGACCCTTCAAATGCTCCCAGGTTGCCGTCTTATAGATGTCATAGCCCTGTTGGAGGTTGATCCGGCGAGGTCGAAGACCTTGTTGGTCGCAAGCTTCACTGAGCCACGAGTGAGGTGCACAGGCGATCTCCCAAATGCCATCCTGTTCATCGAGGACGAAGTCCATAGTTGTTGATGCCATAGAGCTCAACAGCGTTGTAGCCATCAGCAGCAGCTTCGCGGCCATAGAGCTCTTCAAGGGCATAGTGGAAGAAGTCGATGAAGTCATGCATCCTCCTCGTAGGCCTGAGCCAATCCGGTCATGGCAGCCAGGTCTTGCTCTTCCATCACAGCCTTGCGTTCCTCGAGGAGCTGCATGAGCTGTTCCATCTCCTTGGGGTTCAGCAGCTGCTTGACATCCTTCTCGAAGTGGTCGGTCGGTGGAGGCGTGCAAATCTCCCATGAGGAAGGATTGGATGTCTGACCCTTTGTCTTGTTCCTCGAGGTCGGAGTCGCCGGCGAGGTGGAAGGATACCCGGAGCTTTTCACCACAGCCTTGCCCGTCTGCTCCGGCATGTTGCGCTCCCCTTGGATCTTGGAGATCTGGCGGTGCACGAGGTCCTCCAGGACGATGTCCGCATCCACCTTCTTCTGCATGGCATGGACGATCTCGGCCGATGGACGTTCCGAGTTCATCAAAACTTTCAACTCGTCCAGCATCCGTTGAACCAAGGGTGGAGCATCGGTCTTGGTGTTCTGGCCATGGGAGCCCCTGCGAGGGACATACATCCAGCGGATGTTGCAAACTTGGCAGTGTTGCCATTGACCGTGAGGATTCGCTCGCACTGAGCCCAGATGATGTTCCCCGTAGCACGGCCACTGCTCCGGACTCATCCGAGGATCTCTTGGATCCGGGCCGACTCCTCGAGGAGGATCGAAGGGCCGAGGCGGCTCCTTCTCGCGGCTGCCGGTGATCTTCTCCCTGAAGTCCGCGGCTGCCGTCTTGATGTCCCAGATCTTGTTCCCCTGCTCTTCGGTCAGCTGGCTGCCCTTGCTCCGGGACATGGCAAGAGTGGTCCGGGGAAATCGAATTGGGCGTCGGGCTTCCAGCCACGTGTATTTGAGCAGCTGAGAGCTGAAGACGGCGGCCACAAACATAATCATGTAGTGTCATCAAATGTTGACGTGACCGTCGGAGTCGTGCTTCATCATGTTCATGAACAACTCGTGCATGTTCTTGGGAAAGAAGTTCCAAGGGCATGAACTGAAGTGTGTGGTGGTCGTTGATCGTGTTGGAGGTGTCTTTCTCAATCACATGGATGTGGGGATGTCCGTCATGACATGTAAAACCACGGGTGAGGAAAAAGGCGATGTCCAACATGTAGTGGCCCTTTTTGTTCTTTTCCAACTGGTAAATCTCAGGATGGGCCTCATGTGAATCCAAGGCAAAACCTGTTGCAAAATCAACCATCATGGATGAGTGTGGACCTGCCAAATGGTTCATGCCGATCAGGATGGGGACCAGTTGCGACCGATCGAACGAAGGATCATGAAGACCTGGTGGATTTGGTAGTGCATAAAGTTCGAAACAATGAGGCTTTCCAGAAACAGCCGAGGTCAACGAAACCCGATAAAGCGCTTGTCCCCATTTGCCGTTCCCGAACCTGAAGTAGGGCCGATCTTCTTTGTGAATCGAAACCACGGCCTGTCGGTCACGGTCGACGATCGTTGAGATCAGTTGCTCAACTGCAATTTGAGGGCCAGCAGAAGCTGTAGCCCCGCAATCCAGGAGACCATGTGTCTCAGGTGGAGAAACTGTGCGCTCAGTCTCATTGATCTGAGCCTGCAAATCTAAGGCACCAAAGAGCATCTCCGTGTTGTAGGCATTGACGGAAGGTCGTCCCACTGGGGCATTGGACTTGCCCTTCCCTTTCTTGCCTTTTGTCCAGGCTTGAGCGTCAAGCCAGTGGACATTCTTTCCTTTCTTGCCACCACCCTTCTTGCCCGTGAAGAAGTCGTCGTACGTGTACGGATCATACTCAGTCATGTAGTTCCATTTGCTCTTGCCTTTTCCCTTGTAGGGACCAGGGTGTCGACGGTCGGGGCATTCTCGAGAAAGGTGAGGACCTCCGCACTGGAAGCAGGGACCACGTCCTTTGCCCATGCCACCTGAGGGAGGTTGCTGTCCGAAGCCACGATCCTTGCGAAGCGCGGCAGTCGCTCTTTGAGCTTCAGCCCAAGAGCGTCGAGCTTCCACAGCCAAGGATTCGGCCATGCGCTCAGCTTTCTGAGCTTCTTTCAAGTCCTCATCGTTCTCCTCCTGGGTGGTGTTCTTGTCCTCGTAGGCCTCCACGTTGTAGGCATCAGCCCAATCCCATGGAGACCAATCTTCTTGTCCCCAGTCACCGGAGACATGAAATGAGTCCCAAGTGGCAGAGTGCCACTCAGCTTCAGGTTCTTCCTCCTCAACAGTGGCCAATTCGTGCCAGTTGGAGTTGAAGAGAGTTGGATGTGATGAGCGGCTGCCAGTGAACTGCTCGTCCCATAGGGTCTGGAGTGCCCTGTTCACCTCATCGAAGTCGAGGGATCCATGGGTCGCCGACAAAATGTCTCGGCGTTCATCAGCACTCAAACCTGCGGCTTGAAGAAGGCGGAACCCTCGCAAGACTCCGAGAACGAAGGAGTCTGCAAAGCTAAGCTCATTGAGCTCCTCACCAGCCAGTGAGGGCTGCACCCCAGCCGATCGTCGGCTAGGTGAAGACATCGTGCCTTGAGGTACACGTTGATATCCACCACCATGAGGCGAGCCACTCTCCGCTCGGGACGTAGACGCCGGCAATGTCGTAGTGGGTTGAGCCACGTTGGGATCGAAGTCACCATTCTCGGGGTCAGGAGCGTTCACATCGTCCTGCGGCCACTCAGCCCAATCATCCCACCATGCATCCCAGCCGGAGTCATAGTCCTGCTCATAGTCAGCCTCCTCAGCAGGAAGGCCAAAGTCCTTGTCCTCTTGTCGAATGCCACGCTTCTCCTCAGCCAGGCGCACCAAAGCCTCAACAAACTCAGAGAAGCCAAGTGCTTCCCTGACCAGGAACTGGGTCATAGGCTCGTGAGCCTTACGAGCAAAGCTGAAGTACTGATTGCAAATCGCCGAGGCGTTGGGGATGCTCTGGCGCACCAATGGAGAAGCAGCCAGGCGCTGCAGCAGAACCTTAGTGCCCCCATAGTCGTCCAGCGACATGTCACTCCAGCTCATAGCCAGTAGCCTCGCCGGGCCGGTGAGGCGTGAGAGGAGCTTGGTGGCAACATAGCGGCGCTTTGCCACCGGTGTAGCTCGGAAAAACCAGGAAACCTCTCTGGTGTATTTACGCCACGTTCGTGGCGACCCATCCCACGATGGGATAGAGAAGTTGCCATCTTCTTTGGACATGCTCGGGGCCGAAAACCAACTCAAAGGAAAAAGGATAGAGGGGCTTGCCAAGGTCCAGCTGCCAAGTCCGCGCGAGGACAATCTTCAGGATGTAGGGCTAGCAAAGGACCAAGGCGCTGGAGCTTGCGCTCCGCTACCATGTAGCGGGAGCGCAGCGGTAGCGAAAACAAAGGGCTCGAAGAAACCACGTCGATCGAAAGGCAGCCGGTGCCTATGGCTCTCTTTTCTAAGACCGCTGAGGTCTGGCTTCAAAAAAGGGGCCCCTGAGCATGAACAGCCACGGTGGAAAAGTGGCATCTTTACATGGAAGCTCGATGCACGTGTTGCACATTCCCAGAAATGCTCGTGGCATACCAGTATGCAAACATATATCATATATCATCTTATAGGAAAGCCCCCTGTGTTGCCCGTGTATTGTTGAAAGGGCACTATTTTTGGACTCAGGAGTGGACTTCATCCATGTGACACATTCTGAGACTGCCACCATTGCTTTGCACCGCTTGGCTTGCAGCAGCTTGCTCCTGTGCGACACAACTACTTTGGATCGAGCTTTGTCTTCTTGCTGTGGATGATCTTCCTCCACTGGCGACGTCTGCATGGAAGTGGGGAACTGCCCGGTCTACGTCTGCATATGTCCATGTCCTGCAGCGGCGACGTAGGCACCACGGGCGGCATCAACCTGCCCGTGGGCTCCGTGGACGGAGCGAGAACGAACAGAGCGAAGAGCCTCGAGCGCAGCAAAAGCTTGGCTTCTGAGATATTCATCCTAAGAATGGGCTCTGATAGAGGTGTCTAATAAAACACATGTCGCTTGGCAAACCCAAATCATCCTGGAAAGAACAACATGAAGAATTAAGGAACAACGTAAAATTCACTCCGAACCAATCCAGCTGAGTCTGGCCTGGAGCTCGCCTCAGCCGGGGGTCCTGGCCACTGACTGTGACCAAACTGATGGAGCGGAAGGTCGACATCAAATTCCCGGTGGGACTTGTCATGTCGCCTTTTGAGGTACATAAACCAACCCAAGGTTCTCCAAAGGCAGTGGGTTTATGAATCGTTATACATTAGAGGACGGTGAAATCATGGAATCATTCGAGTCGTCGGTGAAATCCCTTCAACTCGTCGCTCAACTCGGCGCCCATCGGCATCGGTTTCAACCGATGCGAGAATGAGGCGCCCACCACGTGTTCGGTTCTGTTGAAGATCTCCGGGGTGCTATCAAGAGTCAAACATTGTTTCAAGGCATCCTTAACTCATGGTCTTCTCTTTCCTTTATTGCGTTATAACGAGTAACTCTGTAAGACCGCAAAACCCTATGCCCCTACATGACCGGAGCTTCGACCTGCGCTGACCAATGACGATCCTGTTCTGCCACAACGTCGGTCATGGAGATGTCGAGTCATATGGAGTCATGCGGTTCAAGGCCATGTCGAAAGTTCACGATGTTCGATGCGCCATCCTACGGTGTCTGTCACAAGTTTCTAGTGTTTATGTTGTATTTTTTCATGTTTCTTCCTTAGGTCCCTATTATACTGCGTTCAGTTCCCAAAACAATTGAATCTTAGTCCACAATGAATGCTGCCAACACTGCCCACTGCACACCGCCGTGCACAAAAAATATGACAAAACACGCCATTAATTTACTTGCAAAAACATCGAACACGTATATAACATAGAAACTATTAGACCACTTCTGGCAATTCAGAAGCTCATCGTCTCCATGTCCCTTCTGGCCCAGGCTGTGATCTGTTCATCACCCGTGCTTCAATCGTCCTCCCTCCGGCCACCGTTTGTTGTTTCAGTCCTGCTTGCGCATCCTGGGAAACCCCACGCCGCCGCCCACGAGGTCCCAAACTCCGGAGGATCACCACGTGTCTCTTAGAGTGCATCAATGAAGGGATCCTCAAGTCCAAAGCAACCTCTATATACATATTCATTGTCCAAAGCAACCTCTATATACATATTCATTTATCATCACTAATTACTACTCTTGAATATCATATATATTTCATTATTCATCAACATCATCTACTCTACATCAATATCATCCGTTCTTCAGTATTCATTTCTTCAATACCATCATTGTCAACCTCTACTACTCGCTGTGGGTCATGGCACCAGCCCCGTTTCAGAGTTGCAAGCTGGTAGGGATCAGCCATGTCTGGTCGTCGTTCATTCTCTGTGGTCGACCATGGTGAACCAGGGTTCGGGGTTCTTACCCATAGCCATCGAAGTATATCAGTCGTCCTGGAGTAGATTATAGGCTAATATATAGAAATGTATATATATATAACAATGGAATCGGTTCACTTTTTGGCCTGGTTCGGTTGATAATATTCTATATGCTCCAGGATGGTTGCACTTGTAAGTGCAAGGGGGGTATGACAAAGAAACGCATGTATGATGAAGTGAAAAAGTTCATGAATTTTAACTCGCCTTGCTCCGGCTTCTTGCAACGCGAACAAGGCAGCCTTTACAAAATGAGTATGAAGGCCACGTCAATGGAAGAACGTTGCGAAGCACGTTGTATCAATGATGTAAGGAGACCCCCAACAAATCAGGGTAGCCAAGGTCTTCTGTGCTCGGCATCTGGACCACCCAAATAGAACCCCCTTGAAATTAACATGCATGCAAGTGGCAAATGGATGCAAATGGCCTCAACTGGCCGTGACTTCAATGATCCATATTGCTCCTCCACAAAACTGGCCGTGGTGCCATCTACTTTCCAAAAGCATCCATTTGCCACGACAACGAACCTTCGCTTTGGATGGGTGCCGAACTTCGATCCCCTGATCATCGATCCACGCTCTCCTGCCGGTGACTGGGGCTCAAGAGGTCGTCGAAGGCGGAAAAGGCCGCCAAGCGCTTCTCATCCACCGCGTGGTGCTGAGCGTGAACAGCTCGGCCAATCAGGTGACTGGGAGAAGGATCTGTGAGCTCTGAGAAAGTTCTTTTTCTCGGCTTCGTCTTTCGAGCTGAGTTCCTCTTCCCCACTCCTTATAGTCTTATATTACGTATATTATTGTGGCTATGAGGCTCCAGGTTGAATCCCCATTTGAAGCATGTCATTTTGAAGCCTGAGGGTATGTATGTAGCCAAAGGTATGCGCATGTATTTATGCGTGTGCAACACAATCAGTATCCAGACTTGCGGGGTGAAGCGTCACATACAGTACCTAGCAAACTGAGACTGAGACTGGAAAACATGTGAAAGCATGAGCCCAACAGGCCAAATCGTCCATCATTTCATGTGATTCCTGGTCACCGGTAAGACCTCCCCGGACCAAGACCGGCACACTTCACTACGCCACGAATCCACGAACGAAACCGTCACGAAGACGGTTTCGGTGGTTTCAACCGTTCCGGGCGCCTTCTTGGCGGGCGCCTTGGAGCATTGCTCGAAGAGCCGCCTCGGACCGGTCGGCCACGCTTCGCTCGGTGATTGGGCCCCCATCGGTGGGGGTGGCGGGTGGATTGAAACATGATCGACTTATTTCCTTCTTTCAGCCAAATAGCCCCTGTTTAGCAAACATGGAAATGAAACACCATGGTCCCTTGGACAACTGTTTCCTTAGTTTCCTCTACACTCTACAAAGAGGGCTTGACCACTTGTATGCTTGTTGGAGGGAGGGTACCCCCAAAACAACCGTAGAGAGGGTGGCACAGCCACTATAAAAGAAGCATGGAACAAACAACTGGGGATGAGTGAAAACCTCAACCCTGGTCCACCATATAGCTTGACCTTCCAGGTAGGTCTCCTGGTTTTGACCCACAGCCTCACAGGCCATGCTCAGAAGGTATACCATCCCTGGTGTCATCAAGCCGAGGATGTGCGCCGGCATGTAGGTGTCCCCGTCGAAGTAAGAACACATGAGGGTTGTCACCTATTCTACATGTGAAAAGCTCAAGGAGTCCATCAAAAGCACGGTCCACGAAATCCAAAACACCAAGACAAAGCAATAGGCGGTGGATAAGAACAGCATGGCAAGACATGAGCTTTCCTGGCTCTTGATGCATCAACAATAAGGCCAAATACCAACCGATCCACAGCTGATTCAGCCCATGCCAAGCCACTTCAAGTCATCTTGGCTACCACTCAGCACCGCCTCGAGTGTGCCCACGGTGTACTAGTAGAATGCGCTTCCCAACCCCATGGGGCGCTGGGGACAAGGGCAAATAACACAAACACTTACATACAAATCCATTGTTCATCATCTAATGCTGTTGGGCGAAACCACCGGATCAATCACACAAGGTATGTATAGTCTTCTCTGTGCTTCTGGAACACCCAAAGCAAATTGACAAGTCAAAGAATATGTATGTATGATAATGTATAGAACACGTATAGATGCTGAACCGGAGGGTGGCCCCATTCCTTCGGCCAACAACAGCACGTCGTGCTCCGAGGAGACCCATCGCCCTCACATCCGACCCATTTGGGTGAACGTGGGCGTGCACCTGCCGTAGCTTCTCCCCCATGGATGTGGTGTCCTGGCGAAGACACGCTTGGCTTCTTGTGGTCCATCGCATGAGCACAGCAGTGAGGGGCTGCATGTAAGGGCGATCGCCCGTGAATAGAAGGTGCCTTAGAGTCGAGTGAAGAAAGCTTTCTCATGTTCACTGGAAGAAAGCTTTCTGTATCAAAAATGGAGCGTCTGTGAAAGTCTTGCTGAACAAAATGACCAGCCAGGGAGGTGAAGAACTCTCACTTTCGCTTGGTTGAGTCAAGGTCAGAATGGCGGTGTTTTCTACTCCTGAAGCACTGTTCCATGATATGCGGTTTCCAATGTCTCTACCCTAGCTTCTGACAAACCCATGGTCGTTAATCATGTCAAAAGCACCTTAGGACCGATGTCTCAAATCTCCCCCCACCCTCTCACAAAGCCACCCTCACAAACAGCAAAACCACGGACCGATATCTAAAACATGTTTCAACACTTTCAGCAACTCATCTTCTCCTCTGCCTCCACATCAGTGGGAGCTGGCTCCGCCGCCTCAAAAAGTCGGTTTGTAGAGGAAGCTAGTCTTCCAAAGTCCATGCCATCAGGTTCCATGTGGGTCTCTTCCCGGATGTAGCTATCTACCAAGTGGTTTTGGGGGGAGTACATCTACACAACTCGGCTTCTGCACAAGGCCCCATGGTCGCATGTCGCCAGACAAACATCGGCTAGCCCGGCGAATTAGCCCGGCGTTCACGATCCAATTGCTCTTACAAAAGCAATCCATCCACATGTATCCAGAGGCGAATATATTTCACAGTTCTTAGATGATATGATTATGATGTATGGGTTGAAACATCTGGGTCCCACAGCTTCTGCTCATTTGCCGGGTCTGGAAGGATCCGGAAGGCCACTGACATCATGTTGACAAGCCTTACAAACCAGTGGACTGTCACAGGAAGTATCTGTAAGATTTGGGTAAGTGTATACTGTATGCTGCAACTTCCCAGGAAAACTCCGGGCCGGCCGCATGCGATGGCGGCCATGGCCGGCCGGATCGGTTTCCAAAACCACCTCTTGGAGCGAACGACACGCGGGTTCCGCTCGCCACCCCCCGTGGGGTTCCGGCGGGCTCTTCCACCGACGCGACGGGCGCGGCAAAGGAACCATCGATGGCCATTAAGTCCTGCGATTTGACCCCGGGAAGACCTGGTCGGGGAGGAATCCACACCAAAACGGTGCTACCTGGGGCGGAAAGAGGACACTTGGTTGAGAAGTCCGGATCCTGCATTTGATTTTATACAATTGTCTATTATCACCTCTTGGAGGGAGGTCGGAGCCCCATGGCACGTGCACATTCAAGAAACCGGTTTCTCCGAAGGTTTTACCAGTTTCGTCTCCAAGTTGGTTGTGCCAAAAGACATGTGGAGAAACCAAGCTGGGTAATGGTGGGTAGAAAACATCGTTGTCTTTCTGACTGCAGTCGCCTACGGCTTACGCACCTCGTGCACCTCCACGCAATTCCTTCCGCCTGTTGGCAACCACACCAAATGCTCAGTGACAAAGCTTTTGGGGGGGTCATTGAATGTAATTGATGGTCATTGTCATTGTATATATGTATCAAAAAGGCGAACAGTGGTGGATTGGATGAGCCCGGTTTTGCTGACATCTGCACCACTACTTGGCAGTGAATATTGGCATTCCATGGCATTCCCAAACTTGGATCATGACTCGACACCTTGGACGATAGCTACCCTCGAAGCCAAATGAATCCAGGCCTCTTTTCCCTCTCGCCCAGCGAATCACAGTTGGACTCTGAACCGAACCGAAGCGAATGGATTTGTGTGGAGGGACAAATCCATTGATCAGTGGCCATGCACATCCATTGATGTATTGAGTTGAGTTGCTCTTTCTGGACCCAATGCGATGCCGGATGTCCTGTGACTTGGAATGAGACATTGAAGTCCACCCTGTTTGGACAAATCCATTGAGCAAGGTCAGGAAAAATCTTTTCCTGCGCCTCGATCTCATCTCTGTGGCTGGAAACCTGGACCCTGTGAGCCTGGCAAACAACTACTATTTTCTGGATCCTTTCACATGCCCGGGCGCGGCGTTCATGCCGGATTATACTGGTTTACCTCTTCGGCGGCCCATCTGAAAGGCAGGTTCATGTATATACATGTTTACGAGATCTTCTCCAACCATACCTGTCCCTTTTCAGTCGAAAAGAAGGTAGAGTCTATGTATTTGACCCAGTCTTTCCAGCCACATCATCTCTTTGAACATTGATAACTTCAGCCAGTCGGCCACATGCCGGGCGTGGGCCAATCGCACACACCTGAACATGGGCCAAGTGCTAAGCTCAGGGCAAACGTTGATCAGTTCTTCTGAGTCTTTTTGCGGGAAGCTAAAATGAAGTCAGCCAGATTCCAAGCCAACTGCCATAGCTAACAAACAGGGCTCCAAACTTGGTGACCAAAACATGCTGTGGTTGTTCTTGAACTATTGCTCAACTCCGCTGCGCCATGGAAGTGGATCATGACCCCTTGGATGACCATGTTTCATCTACAAAGAGGTGGTTTTCCACTTGCATGTTTGTGACTCGATCTAGCGACCAGTGCAAACTTTCATTGATACTCGACCCATCTGGGAATTTCCATATGTCCAATTCTACACAACATCAAACAATCCCCAAACTCTTTCAGTGATGCCCACTCGTCTGTCCCATGCCTAACCTGGCCACGCCGATCGAAATCGATCAGCACACAACGCATGGCATGCATGGCACGCATGGCACACGCGCACGGGCAGGCGCGCGGGCAGGCGTGCGGGCAGGCGCGCGCATGGCCTCCTTTTCTTGCTCGACTTTTAACCGGAGACCATGACGAAAGAGCAAGGCTCTTCAAACTCTTCTGGATCCAAGTCATCGAAGACCGGCATCCCCACAGCGCTCCTCGGTGATGCATTTCGCACCCGGTGGATGGAAGGCGTGGATGGAAGGCGTGCGAGGTACAATCCACGAAGTCATACGAAGTCTTTCCGCTTCAGTTCTGGGATGTTCATCTGGGCAGTTCGGGGTTCACAGCTTCAAGAGAATGGTCTGACAGAAACAGTTGCTCGGGTTGGGCAGCTATAAGTTCCCGAATCGGGCTCCAGGCTGGAACAGGCTTGGCACTGTGGCGAGGACTGCCAGGGACAAATTCCAGTCTCTGAGCACGATCCAAACCACAAGGGCAGGGGGCCCAACCTGACCCAAGGCCCTGATGAACCCGATTGAATTCGGATGGACAAAGCGAAGTAAGAACATGACCAATTTTAATTCAAATTCATCGCAAAGTGGAATTAATCAACTGTGACACAAAAACATTGTTTAAACAAGCCCTCTTCAGCCAAAGTCACACCTCACTGGACAAAGGGCCTCAGGCTCGTTTCCACGGAGCACTTACTCACCCAACAGGAAAAAGCAGGACAAACTCATAAATGGACATGGTTGACAGGTTGGTGAATAAACACAGTTTGAGCAAGCTTCCATGTGGATAGTGCCTCGAAAACCTTGCACACGTGATAACATGTGATATTATAAGTAATCATCTATAATCTAGTTGCCACCGTCCGACTTGCCTGCCTGGTTTTCACGTGAGGAAACATAGGCTCTAGGGGTCAAAGAACCGCGCTCTCGTCTCAGAGAGACCCACCAGGAAGTCCAAGGAACGGGTAACTGTCTATTTACTCAGTTAAGCGCTCTCGTCTTCAGGAACTTCTCCACACTTCTCTATCGTTTCATTGCTGGACATCTTTGATCTTAACGTTTCACATTTTGAAGATGCTTGCAGTCTAATTAGCTATTCTACATATTTCCAAAGACAACAGAAGCGTGTTTCATGATGTTTCTATGTGTTTCTCGTCTTGCGAATCATTCCCCCAAAGAACCACACACCGCAATCCATCGGATCTTCGTCCGTCCAACACGCTCCATCCCAGCCGCTGTGATCGACCCAACTGGCCGGGCTCCCGCCGACGCTTTGTGGGGAGGCGAAGTCCCGGAGCATTCCTGGCGCCCGGAGCATTCCTTTCCACCCGCAAAAAGGCCACCACCCCACCTGGAAGGAGAACATGAAAATCCAATCATGGACGACCATTTTTTTCTAGAAGGACTGTTACCCCGCCAAGGCCCTGTAAATGATGCATAAGCCAAGACTGGGATTGAGTCCAAGAGTCTTGTAATGCGGGCCTTTAGGGGACACTCATGCGGGTTAGATCTGGTGTTTGTTGAAGGTAACCTGGCTCGCAACAGATGGTACTGCATTGTGAGACCATTTCGGGGCGTGTGACGTTCTTTTTGCTAGAATGCGTACTCAGGTAAATCAGTGTGCTAGACCAGAAGAATTTATCCCATAACATGTCCTTAAAGATCCTTAAAAGTACCATTTCAGATGTTCCCTCTCCAGAAAACCTCGGACGTCTGTTCGAGCTGCTCGAGCTGCCCTGTTCGAGCTTCGGGACCCTCTGCATCCCACTCTTCACGCGCCGCGTGGATCGAGCCACGAGGGTCCGGCCGCGCCTGTGCGCGAGAAGGCCACGCCCTTGTTAAGCTGACCTGGTTGCACCTGGCGCCACGCAGCATGAGGCATGCATTATGACCGTGAGATCGGGCACCGTCGTGGCACCTGGAAGAGAGTCCGACTTCTCCCTGTCGTGGCCGCCGTGGCTGGCGGCCCGGGATGCGGGATTCTCAAGTGTCATCGGACAAGACCTTTTTTTCGGGGTTCTCTTCAACAAAGCATGCTATATAGAGTCACTGGAGCAAAGGAAACCATCATAAACCATCCATCACGGCACAATTCCACTTATAATAGAATTCAACAGTACAAAGTAAAATAGACTAAAATATATGTAGTAGCCATTCCTAGAAGCACCTGGGGCAGAAATTTCTGCCTCAGTCCGGTTTGCCCGGGAGGATTCGCGGATTTAGGGGAAATCCGCGCCAGGTAGGAATTTCCGCGGGCAGCAGGGAATTTTTGCCTCAAGCAAAATCCAACATAGCAACTCAAAAACCATTACAACCTACCAGGTTGTCTCTTCCATGATTGCAGACCACATACCGTTCTGCATAGCTTCACATCTCAAGATCTGACACCTTCTAAATTCATGACATTCACAAAGAGGCTGCGACATATGTTCAAGCCCTTCAAAGGCATCAAAGGCACTGTTCTTGAATCCCGCCTAATACCAGGAAATTGCCGCCGGTTTCCCGGGTATTTCCGCCGTTTTCCCGGGTATTTCCGCCTCTTTCCCGGGTATTTCTGCCTTTTTCCCGGGCATTTTCGCGCCAGGTGTTTTCAACTTTAGACTGATTTTAGTCCTTTTGTGATCATTCCGCACAAGAAACCTTCAAAAGCAAAGACACCTATATGATGTGATGGTAGCCAGATTTACAGGTGGAGGTGGCAACTTAAGCGCTGCAAATTGTTTTTTCTCATTGCGGTGACTGTTCCAGGCAGAAATGCCCAATGTAAACCACAAAGATATTCAACTCCTCTAGAATATGTAGTCTTTGTCTCACTGGATTCCTGAAAGGGAATATTCGCGGCAACAAAAACATTTCCGCGGCAAACAGCTGATTTCCGCGCCAGGACGGGAAGAGCCGCTCTTCCCGAAAAAGGCAAGAATTTCTGCCCAAAGGATCTTCTAGGTTTGGCAAAGCTTCCTTCAACGCAACCACTTCGGACACCTCCTTCTGTACACGACCTCATCCACGAGGCCGGACCAATGGAAAAGTTCGAGGCGGTGCTCTGCCCCGCTCTGCCTCAGGCTCGCTCTCTTCATCGAAGTGGCGCTCTTGGAAGCCAGACTGGACACACAAGTACCAGCCTCGGACCGTTCAGTCAAGCTGGTACTGGTGAGGGAACGTTGGATGAGAGACCCGGATGGATCAGCCTGTTTGGGGTTTCTCTTTTGGAACCTAATTTGTGTGTATACATTATAAGTCCCATACACTCCATGTAGGCCATATTTACCTACATTGACCCCGAAAACCACCCCAATGTAGGCAAATATGGCATACATGGAGTGACTGTGAGTTATAAACATATTATATATGTATATATGTACATAACACACGCACACCCTTTGAGCCATGCTATGGTCCATGGTCTAAATGATGGATTCCGTTGGATTACCCCACCTAGTAGGTTTCACTCAGCCGTTGACATGGATCGGTAATGGAGACCCTCTTGATGAATCACTGCCAAAACACGCTAAAACCACCGAATTTCGACTGTCAACAGCTCTTGAATAGGGAGATTTTAGATGACTTGAGCAAAGGCTTTGCTCCAGAAGGCATCAGAGTCACACGGACCACCGCCCCTTTTGGTCCGGCGCTCGGCTCGGTACAACGTGCCGACTCGGTGCATAGAAAAGGAATCATCATGGACAAAGACACATAGTATCCAGCCTCAGCGCTAGCGCATCTCACGGGATAATGTGACAATCGGCGGTCATATATACTTTCAATGAAGCAATGGAATCCCAACATATCCCAACAGTTCTTCAAGACAACAGCAACTGACTTGGGCCTCATATGCCTCATCATGGTTTCCAACTCCAACCAGCGTTAAACACTGGGCGTCTCACCGTTCACACCATCCACAAAACCCCTCTCGCCTGCAAGCCATCCTTCTCAGTGCGCAAGCTGCCGCGACCGCTGAGCACGGCGGTGAGGATGGTGAACAGCGCAGAGGAGGTTGCGCTCATGAAGAGCCCCAGTGCTTGTGCGCTGCTCCGAAGCCTGCCACAAAAGGTGTGCCGTGGCAGGGTTGACAGGGTTGGTAAAAGGGCAGGAGGCCTTCGGAGGCCTTTGGAGGCCTGGGCAGACTGGTGGCATTTGTCTCGCAAATTCTCCCTGCAAGGAAGCTGGTGGGAAGTGGTCGAGTGCACGCTGAAGTGCTAAAAGGATCGGGAACCACCGGTGACCGGGACTTGTGGTAGGATATACTGGGGATGGTGTGATTGGATTCAGTCAATGGCAATTCACTTCAAAAGCGTTGCAGGAGAATTCATTCCAACATGTCTTGCAGCGTGGCAAACATCACACCCCACTCACCCTCTCACCCTCACTCACTGTGCCCAGTCTAGCGAGTTATGTGGCTTCCTCCATCTCCAGAGTCTTAAAGTTTCCATGCGTTGATCCTGGAGTTGATCCTTGAAATCAAGGCTTTGAGCAGTGATATAGTGAAGTCATCTCCAAAGTCTGATTCCCACTTGGACTTTTCAAGTGTCCCAAACTGGGTGCCTGAACCAGCATTGATTGGCTACATCCATTGCCACAACGTCGCTAAACCATGCTAGACCCATCGATCCATCGCGCACCTTAAGGGTGACTGTGAATAGGCCAAGTAGTAGAGCGTCGAATTCCTGCGACAGTGACCAACAACTCCAGAATTGGCTAATCTCCAGCGACCCTGGATTCCTTTCGAAGCTTCCGTTCACCATCCTTCACCCCTCAAGAGAGAGAGAGAGAGCCTGTTCATAGAACGCCTAGGAGGAAGAATGTCAACTGATATTGACCCACTTGATCTCTGCCACCTTTGAAGTGCTCCAGAACGTGCGTGGCTACTTCACAACTCCACTCGCGAACCCAAGCATAGAAGCTCAACAAACAGTCGTCCTAATGAGGGAAACTCTTGAACAAACAGCCCAGTTGCACAAAGAAGGTGGGGCTCTCGTGGGTCACAACTGGGCTTTGTCGACTCCTTGTGACTCGTTGACTGTGGCATGTACTGTGGTGGAAGCGACTGGCGACTGTGACAAGTTCTGGTTTCTCAGGATCTCAGGCCATGGTTGTTTCTGCTTGGTGCTTTCAATGCACCAACGAAAAATATGAGGACCTGTGGGTTCAGTCATTCATCCCAAGTAAACAAAACATGTACAATAATTGAAATCACCACCCAGGTTGTCCCATGCTGTTTCACCCAGCTGCACATACAACGTGCCAGTTCTTGGTTGCCTCTCCCTTTGTGGCCTCTCCCTCTCCCCGCCATGATGTTCATATTCACCGGCTGTCAGGGCAGCGGCGACGCTGGTCCAAGGCTAGCACCTGTCACTGACCTGCGGCCCAGGTGCACATACACTTCCGCCACGCCCATCACTGTGTACGGTCCAATCATCCACCAGGCGGACAAACCTCGATCATTCGATGATTCGGCGGACAAGATCATGGCCGTACGGTCCGTTACGGGCGCACCCTGACCATCCCGATGTCAGGAAGAGACCATGAGAGTCAGCGGAGACCACGGTGTCTCCAGATTTCGAATCCTGACACCTTCCAACGCGCAGAGCGGTTTTGGCACACAACGTCTAGATCGCCTGATTCTACTGTCAATGCACGGTTCCGACCCGGAGTTGGTCCCCCTTCACTCCGCTCCCCACCAATCTTTTAGCCAACTTGTGGAGGGGGCAGGCTTAATGTGAAGAATGAGTACCACGTCGAAGACACATAGAAACATGATAGAAACATAACATGTTGTCGGAATGTTCGCGATGTTTGTTACACTGCCATATCGTATATACCCTGCCTGATGACTCGGGACTCGATCTCTCCCTCCCTTTCTTTGTAGCATATGCATATGGCAAACGCTGGCACCAAATTTTGTGCCAACAGTCCGGAAAAGAATGCTATAGATATGGTCAATGGCTTGGCTTCTGATTTGTTCACCCACCTTCACGTGGCAATGTCTATAGCTTCTGATAGGTTCCACTTAACATGCGGTCCAAGCTGCTGCTCATCTTCTGCCCGTCCGGCGCACAAAGGGAGGCCTGCAAAAACAGCAAGCTGCGAAGCTGGAGGCAAAAGTTGTTGAATCGGATCCGTAGAGAAATCGGCAGCATCTTCTTGTGAACCAAACCTAGGGGGGCCCCCACAGAACAGCCAAATGTATATGGGGCAACTTGCATCTCCAAATATCTCCAGGAGGTTTCTTTGACCATTTGGACATATGTTGACCTTCCTTTCAGCCTCCTTTCCAACCAATCCTCCTAGCCACCTCACCTCCTCCAGCAAGGGTGAAACGATCCGGAGGTCCTGCGACGCGGTCTGGTACCGTCTGAGGACCAGAGGGGGGCTGACCGTGCGTGGTTCCGGGGTGAGCGTTCCAGACCCAGATGTATTCCGAAGGGTCGCAGGTGAGCGTTCCAGGCAGCCATTTCTATCCATTTCTGCTTCTTTGTGCGTCAGGAGGGGGGTGAGGTCATGTCGCACCATGTTGCACCTGAAGACATCCTGAAGATGTTCCGCACCTTGACATCAACACCGGTCTTGATAGATGTTGTAATCATCCTAGGCGACCGTGAACTACGTGGTACCAACCACATGTCTGGTTTTGAGTGCATGGCTTTTCAATGCGTTTTTCACACGTTTGCACTCACAGTCAAGATATGAAGCGCCCAGTCCACTCTCGGCCCCTCCACCCATGGCCCACGCGTACGGCCCACGCGTGCACGCGGACTCCTCCAGCAGCGCAGCCCAAAGTACTGAGACTGCCGCCAATAGACAACCCAACAAGAGCTTCCCGTGGCGACCCACACCAAACCTCGGTGTTGTTGCGTTTTGGCATGGTAGGGCCACGGATGGGTATGGTAGTTTCAGGATGTTTCAGGGCATGGTAGATAAGAATGATAAGAAGTGTTGATGCTTATGAGGTTGTTGCTTGATGGTCTGGGGTGATTGTTGGTGGCTCCTGAAGGAGCATTGTAGAGGCGTTTGGACTGGTTGCAAGAGACCTGCTCCCCAACTCGATCCGACTCCTAGGAAATCACCCAAGCTGCCCAGGACAAACACATGAAGAACCTGAACCCACTCGACAAAATTCATATCATTCTACACAGGTCCCACTCGCCACGCGCCTGCGCTCCATCCAGGGGTTGACCGTGTTCATCAGCGGTGGGGTGAAAAGGACGATGGCTAAGCCTCGGCAACGGTGAAGGGCTGGGCGTCTGGACGGAGGCGCGGGGGGTGGAGCACTTGGGCGAGCTATTCTATTTATTGGATCAGTGTTTCTGTTGGAACTTGGAGAGGCTGAGAAAAGCATCGAATGTCGCCGCTCGGTGTGTGTGTGTGTGTGTCCAACCCTGGACAAAGGGTCTTCCACCACCACTCTTTCCACTTTACATGGGCAGGGGGCCAGCGGCCGACAAGCAAACGCTGGCTAACAAAGCTATGCTTGTCGGTGGATGCACAGTCTGATCAACTGTGTGTACCTGCGACCAACTTTTGCACAAGCTGTCCAATCTGATCGGTTTGCTTTCATGGTCCTTCATGCTACCACCCCCAAACAGGTTTCTTTCAGCAGCTGAGCCGCCGATCGTCCGCAGATGTGCAGCGTTTGTTCAGCAGAGCGAGGGAAACTATGTTAAACAATTCAAGTGATCTGACCCAATCACCATGCCGTTCCACCGCCATCCTTCCCATCGGGAAATTGAGCTAACTGAATACAAATTGTCGAAGTGTGTCCCGCTCAGCCGTCCCACTCGGGTGCTGAGTGTGATCCCCGTCACAGGGGCGCCGATCTTGCATGGGAAAGCAACCACCCCAACGCACCACCGTTCACTGGACTCTCACAGGAAGGCACCGACACCCTCACAGAATCAACTGCCACACCGGCCGCCGGGCCAAAAAACGGTTCTTGAAGAATACTTCGGATTCCAACTTTCAGATTTCAGATTTCTTTTCATGTCTTCAAAGAGCATACTTGACGGCTAAGTATTCACATGCCTGCGCTGCTAAGTATTCACAGGCCGGATGAATTCATCATGCACAACCCCCCCCCCCCCCCCCCCCCCCCCCCCCCCCCCCC